ACCTAACTTTAGTTTTCTATATTTAAGCATTAAACTAAGACTTTAAGTATTTTTTTTTTTCAGAAACATGGAATAAACCTTAGTGGTATTCTTCAACCAATGTTAGTTTCAAAGAAAAAAAAATCTTTTAAAATTCAAGCTGATGAATCCGAGTGGGTGTACTTAGTTCCTGAATTATGTACTATGACTGGATTGACTACTAAGATGAGGTAATCAGATTTATAAGATAAAGTACCTAYAAACAATTTACACAAAACAATATTAAATTGTGTAGGTATTCAATAAACAAAATTAGTGGCGCTGATGCCATCTGAAACACTTATGAAAATTTTTTGTATAGTAGTATACATACCACCTAACCCAACTACCGGGGTTCATTTAACTTCATAAATCCCARCMACRACCAACTCCATTTTAAATTACTTAGACATATATTCACAGCAAACCTAGGCTCAGAAGCTCTGAACAATAAGAWGATTGCTCTCAAAAAATAAATATAGTATATAACAGAAGTACTCATCTCAGTTTAGTTATGTATTAACTATGGCTTCAATAACAATTTTTAGCATCTGTACTCTTTTATGGTAGAAAAATAATTAATTTTTAACTTGGTGATCTCTGGGGCCAGAGTAGCGCAGTGGTCACGCAAGTGATTGGAAGTCAAATAGCAAAGTGCAAAAAAAAAATGTGTGATTTTATGCGATCACCAATTTCTCGCGCTATCTTCCAATTGTGTCATAAGGTTCTTATTGAAGTTCAAATTTTGACGATATATTCACGGTCATTATACAATTTATCTTCGAATAATTTTAATAATTTTATTTTTATTCTTCAGTTTTAACTATAGAAACTTAAAACATTCTGATTTCTTACACACAATGAGATTTTTAAAATATTTAGACAAATATTAAGCTAATTATAAGTATATTTTCTATAAATGTTGATAAACATGTTAATGCTCCATCAAAAAGCATAAAAATATAATATTACTTATAGCATAATGATTTATTTTTACTTTCGTCTAATATAAGCCGTCTTTCAATTACAGAGATAATCGTTATCTCATGACTGATTTAGCAATTTATACAAGATTTGGTCCCACCGAAAGAATTGGCAGATATAATAAATTTATGGATCGGATTCTTACTACACCCAAGGTAAATATTTTATTGAAATATTGATGAGCAATCAAATATTTACTTTAATTTTTTCTGTATATTCAAGTCTGCAGAATCACTAACACAATGGAATTTAACATTAAGTAATAAACTCGTTACAATACCTGGCCGTGTATTGCCACAAGAAGTACTTCAAGTAAATGAGCGAAAATTTGCAACTGGTATTGATGCTAATTGGACAACACAACTACGTTCATCTTCCATGTTTACTTGTGCTGAAATAAAGCGTTGGGCAGTACTATGTCCAGGAGGAAATAGTAATCAACTTAGACAATTTATCCAGACTTTACTAAAAGTTTCAAGAAACATGTCATTTAATTTACCGCCACCAGAAATGTTAGTATTGGTTATTTATTATTTAATACATTTTATAACTTGAATGAATTACAAAATATATTCTATATATATATTTATTTTTAGAGTTGAACTACCAAATACAAATATAAGAACATATCTAACTACAATAGATAAATTAATGAATCAAATGAATCCATCATTTATTTTATGCGTAATGACAACAAATCGTGCAGATAACTACAGTGCCATTAAGAAACATTTATGTATTGATAGACCAGGTAACCAAGTTCTGAGATTGAAACTAAGGTTTTGRGATTAATTTTAATCTAATACGAGTTTGGTGTCAGGCTCTGACACTTGAGTAATTTTGAGTTAGGTTAGATGAAGTCAGCTTTAGGTCCTACCCTGTCTGATATCAGAGATGATTAGGTACAATGTGAGTTCTCACATTTAACCATATTCATTGGCTTGTATCTTTTGTGTTTAATCTAAGACTATAAGATGTCTGGCATAAAATGCACTTTGGTGGATCTGGCTGATCATGATATGGTTGGACAGAATATGCAGCCAATCCACAAAAAAAACACATGATCCAAATTCTATCAAAATATTTCTAAAATTAATAAAAATAAATGTAATTATTAGTAGTAAATTGATTAAATCTTTCAACTTAATCTTTAATCTCAGCGTATTCCCCTCATATCTGTAACTTAAACTTAGGTCTTGATTTTATATAAAATGTAAAGTTTAAAATATTTTCACTAATAAACAAAATGTTTTCTTTATATACACAA